TCAACTCTGATATGTATGTCAGCCATCTAAAAATTGCAATGGAATAGGATTCTCCATGAGCCACAACTACATTAGCTTTGCTGTTCACTAGTTTATCATATATTTTTGCTCCCCTTTCTAACATAACATTAATGTTGGTGATGTAGGTGTGTGGGGGAAGTTTTTTTGTGAAGGCAAAGCAGACACCTCTTTTGGAAAACATTGGAAAGACAGTTTGCAAGAATCTTTCTCCATTGTCATTATCCATAAAAACAAGTCCAATCCATGTCCAGCTGAAATGCAGGAGCAAAGAAAGAATCCCCTCATACTGCAGAGTTTCATCAGGAACCATCTGATAGAAGGGAAGTCCTGGTGTCTTATCATTCATGACTGGAGCCACACCATAAATGAGCTAAGAAGAGGTTGAAGAAATGTTAGCATGATGACATTAATGATTGGAATAAGTTTTTTATGTTCCACATGCTGGTTGCCAGCAATTCTGTGAGAAGCCCTGCATGGCTTGTGAAGCTTATGCTTTCCAAAGTAATGCCCAGCTTCCTGCAATCAGGAGTTCTCAGTTCTTATGGTTCCCAGCCATCATGGCTTGATGTGAGTTGGAGTTCAACACATCCCCATGGAAGCATGTTCAGAAAGCTTGTTCTTTTTAGTGGTCCTCCTTTCAGAAGTCTTGTAATATTAATTCATTTGCATGTCAGACTGGTGTTCTATCATGCCATGACATTAGACAATAATAACTATAATTTAGTGAAATGTCACAGGAAGGGAGAAATAGAATTACAACCAGAAGTTTAAAAAACCCATCAAATCAGTTGAAACAACACATAAAATGAAGTTTTGGTTTTCCAAGTTGACAAGAATGACCATATGTTTTGATCTTCTGTCTGCTCTAAGTGCATCTGATAGGATTATTTTCTGGTTCCCACATTCATTTTATGCAAAGTCAGGGAGTGCAAGACTGAAATGTTGGTAGCATCAGACGATTAATTTCTTCACATATTTATCTGGTTATGTTGCTAAATGCTCAGTGTCAGAACTCTTGCCTATATAGCTCTTATATCTCTGTACTTGTCATACAGTGGTGTTATTTAGACTTTGCAATCTCAAAGTACTTGAGCAGATGGACTTCTCCTATTCTACATGCATGGATTAGGGTATAAACATTTAAAATAAATTCCATTTTTTCATGCTTTGGTATCAAGGATAGATCCATAGAGCCATTTGTCTAGAGTGGACAATTGCCACTCTCACCCAGCAGCTAGCAGGAGAGTACCAGTGCCCTAAAGGTCAGCTTTCAGGTCCTTTGGTTTTCTCTGGTAAATTTTCATGGTGTTCACTTTCACCATGAATTGTTGACTAAATTACAATGCTGTAGTTGGTTATCTTTTCCCCCCTTTAGGATGTGGTTTCATTACACTGTCTAACAAACAATGGAAAATAATTTTTTAAAAGTCACACACTGGTAGCATAGTAAAACTGATAGCAAAATTACATTGGAAGACAATGTTGAGTTTCTCAATTCAGTACTGCACTGCTGAATTTGCCTGGTTTCACCTTTGGAGAAACTTGCATCTGAATGAGAGTGACCATACATTTCAATCTTTTGTCCATCTCAACTGTGTCAGGTTGTACTATTTTGTACTACTGCAAAAAAATTAAAATCTTTTAGATTATTCCTTAATGTGTGGTTTGATTAAAGTGTGTATTACACAATGGAAAAGGAATTTTTAAAAGACACAAAAACTTTTAACATAGTAATTATGATAGCAAAATTAATAATGGCTAATACGAATGATCAAAAGTGCAAGTGGTTAGAACATATTTTCAGTCATCTTAAGTTTTAATATCAGTCCAGATAGAAAAGTGTGTTCATTCTGGCAGAAGGAATCCTAATCTCCCATTATTTAAATCAAGTAATAGGAAGATGAATAAGAATTCATCTGCTTGTTTTTACTGGAACAATTTCTCAGACAGGAAGTAGGAAAAACCAAGGAAGTGTGATTGTATATCTATATCCCCTCTCTCACACAAAGAAAGGAAGAGGATTCCTACCTGTGGAATCTTGTAGATATCCAAGAAAATTGCCATATTGAGAGAGACTTCGGAGTCCAGTGCCCCAATGATTGCAATTACATTATTGTGGATGCTGCATGCATAGTTGGGGACCAATCTCTCTTTCACTGAGAGAAGTCGCAGGGTGGCCTGGCAGGTTGTTCTTGCATTGGCGTAGCTATCATAGACTCGGAAGCCCAAAGTGTGGTTGGGCAGTATGTGAGGGCTCTCATTGATCTCTTTCACTGCAAATGTCAAGGCCAGGAGATGCTGGTAATTCTTGGGGACCATGCTGAAAGGAGAGGTGACAACTGAGGCTTAGAGTTTAAGTCAGCACCTATGAAGCACAGCTATACATTCATGGCCAGAAAGAAGGTGCCTTGAATTTGCGTACTAGACTGAAAAGGTCATGAAATGAGAGTCAAGATAGGCAGAGCAAAGCTATGTGGATATATGCAGTAGGAAGCAAACTCCTTTGAGTTTGATTGGGCTTTGTCCCTGAGAACAGGTGGAAAGGCTTTGTACAAAAATGCCTATATATGAAAAAACATTGCTGCAAACATAACTACTGGAGAAATTTTGTTTAAATTATGCAGGCATGAGGAAGCTGCCATAGAGAAAATAGTGTTACAAAACTAATGCATCATCCTTGCATGTGTGCTGTTTATGTGCTGTCATTTATGCAGCCTGATTTTGTGGTAATTGGAGGGAATGAATTCATGACTGAAGAGAGGTAAAACTGACAAGGATGGGGCACAGAGTTATTTATGGGTCCCTTCCCCCAGGGTTGTGCAAGTAAGCTTGCAACTTCAGCCACAGTTTTGAGGAAAGCCCCTGGGGACTGATCACTGCTGTGACAGATGGAGAGGAAATGAAAACAAGCAGCAATTCAATCCATACATGAGTTTTTTGACTGAGTCTGGTGGGGGTTCTTCAGTGAAGGTTATTGCATGGGATATGAATAAACCATGAAAAGTGATGCTGCCAATAAGGAAGTCTCCTGGCAGATAGGCCTGCAGTGGGAAGGGCGGTTCCCAGAAGCTGCATTTGAGAATGCGTGCCAGGCACACACTTTGGGAAAAGAGTACTAGTAGCAAGACCTCCAAAAGCACCATTCTGAACTCTTTTCAAATACTGTACATTCTTTTCCTTTCAGACCATGAAGCACTGTGGCATGGAATTCCCTTCTGCATTGGGAATTGCAGTAAAGGCACCTTGCTTGTTCCTAGTCCCTTCCTCATCTCTCCCTTGATCTGGGCATACTTATGGCAGCCTTCACAGTTTTCTGTTTAATGTGGCCTGTAGCCACTTTAAACTCCAGAGAGGTTCATTGTGCAGCAGGATTAATTGCTACCCTTTGGATAATTAAAACACAGGTTAATTACCAGTCCAAACTTGCAATTTCTCTGTTGAATTGCTGTGAGATAATATGCTTGTTGCTTCTGTTGGAGTTGCCCCAATAAAACTTTTATACAGTATAATAGGGGACCTTGCCTGTCTTCTCCCCTTGCCCCCATCTGCATGGTCTTTCCTTTCTAGTTTCTTTTCTGGGCGAATGAAAAACAGCCCAGGCTATGCAAATGATCCGTATGTTCTCAAATAGCTGCTGATTGCCAGCCAAATCAGAACTGAAACAATATTGCAAGCTGATTGGGGCATCTGTGCTTCCTTTGCAATGTAAAAATACCTAGCAAGCTGGTGATTGTCTTAAGGAATTTTGTATCTCTAACTATAGACACCAAACACTGAAACGTGTTTGAATTCTGTAACTCCTGATTGTTTTATTTATTAGCTGTTTGTCTAGCCTTTAGTGTGTCATGGTGTTGTTCCTGATGAGAGACATGATTCCTCGATGTTTTTGAGTTATATTTTTTCACTTCTCCATTACCCTCAGCTTTTCACCCATTTAGAATCTCATCACCACCCTGAAGGTGTGTGTGTGACCCATAACTTCTAAAAATTCTGTATACATACTGGAACACTCGTAGTTGGTTTGATGTATTGACTACCAGACAGCACTGTTGTTTTTCTCTCTCAGAAATGGGTATCCAGTTGGTTTCCCAATAAAGTGCTGAGAATAAGTAAAGCATCTTGCTTCATGTAGTGTGTGAATCAAAACATGCATTCTCCCAGTCCTACTCTCAAGATTTCCTGATACATCTAAGCATGGGCCACTTAATGCTTGGAAAGCCTCATTGCAAGAGTGAAACTATTTTCCATGGGGGATATTTTGGGTGGTTGCAGGATATTATGGAATTTAATCTTGTTTGTCACATCCATACAGAGATATTACTCAGTTTAAGCAAACAGTTAAGCATTGGGAGGCTAAAAGTTTCCTTTCAATGTAAAAGTCAGAAATTTGATTCAGGAAGCAGTAGATTTGATGTCCCAAGCAGTTCTTGTGCATGCATGTTTTCCCATTTAGGATCCCATTTAGGATCCCCCATTGTTGCTTTGGAACCTTTATTATTATTATTATTATTATTATTATTATTATTATTAACATTTCTATGCCGCCCCTTTTTGGTTCCATCATGCACAGTACCATAGATAAATTAGCCTTTAACTATTAAAATCTGAATTTAAATTAATTTAAACTAACTATGTTTTAGCTAAGGATCCTGTGTGAACTCCTGTATTTTAATTCTCTCTTCCTATCATCTTCCATTCTTTTCCTATCTATACTTTATATAAGCTGTAAGTCTTGAGAAACATATTGTGGTGTGGCACCCCAGTATATCACCTGGGTTGGCTCCCTAGACTTTGTTCTGCTTTTCTGCTGAGCTTGTCCAGTCCTTATGCAGCACTCACCAGGAATGGAGATCTCCACAATTGCTAGCAGCATCTGTCTTCCACATGCAGTAAGTGTTAGTGCTGCTGCATCTGACATGAGAAGTGTCCATGAGAGACCAATATATTGTAAAGAGACAGCCAATATATTGTCAAGTGACTCATACATGAATGTAAGAAGCAGACTTGCTTATTTGAATACAGAAAAGGGACAGTGAATCAGTATTGTTCTTGCAGGGGCACATCTTCCTCTCTTAAACAGGTGATAGTACATTAGGGTAGAACAAGATATTTTACTGGTTACCAATAAATTACAGATCTCATGCAGGGAAGGGAAGCAGGAAATATTTACAGTACACAGACTCTCCATGTGCAGATGCACAAAATTCCTATACAGCACTATGGAATGTATAAAACAAAGAATCATATTTAAGGACACACCCTTGCTAGCAGTAGCAATGTAGAACCATAAATAAGAAAAAGGAATTCTTAATATTATATGTATGACAATAATAATCCATTATCATGTTTCCTCTTAGGAAAGTTTAGGTTGCTTGATTGTCTTGATAGTTTGGAGAAAGCAGCTTTTATTGGTTTCATTTGGAACCAGAAAATCAAATAGTAAGAAGTACAGGGTTGGAAGGATGACCATTTTAAAAATTAATTGAAACTTAAGGAACACCAATTAAATGAGAATTTAAAGAAACAAAAAACAGCCATGCCAACTTATTGAAGAGCAGTGAATACAATCCATTTAGGAAGCTAACAAGCAGAATATCTAATTGATGATTTTTTTCTTTAAGTGATCCTAATTCAGTTCTGCAAAGTAGGGGAGATCTGATCTGATTAAAAAAAGCTGCTGTCCTGAAAGAACCTATCCATAGTCTTGATCTGTCCAAAACTCTAGGCTGCAAATGATAGCAAAGGCTAGGAATACATTCTTCAGTGTTGCCTTCTGATTAGCTGTTTCCTGCTGTTCAGCTCAGGCCGCAACAGAATAATGTAGCATTTGGGGAGAAAGATGCAACACAGCAATCCTGCACTGGAAGCTAAGATGGAGAAGATCTCCACAGCCACCATGGATTTCCCCTTGGTGCTGAGGTAAGAAGGAACAAAAGAGAGCCAAACACTGCAAAAGACTAGCATGCTGAAAGTAATGAACTTGGCTTCGTTGAAGCTGCCAGGCAGCTTCCTGGACAGGAAGGCCACTGTGAAACTGAGGATTGCCAGGAAGCCCATGTAGCCCAAGGCACAGTAAAACATTGTCACAGAGCCCTCATTACATTCCAGTATGATTTCTGTAGCCATGGAGAAGAGGTCAACATCTGGGAAAGGGGGTGAAGTTCCCAGCCACACAGTGCAGATGCCTGCTTGGATGATGGAGCAGCAAAGAACAATGACACTGGTCTTCTCCTTCCCCAACCACTTCCTCATCCTGGATTCTGGCTGAGTAGCCATGAAAACCAGGATGACTAAGAGGGTTTTTGCCAGCACAGAAGAAACAGCCACTGAGAAGATGATGGCAAAAGTAGTTTGCTGGAGGAGGCAGGTAAGCTCTTGAGGCTTGCCAATGAATAGCAAAGCACAAAGAAAGCAAAGCAGGAGGGAGCTGAGCAAAGTGTAGGTGAGCTTCTGGTTGTTGGCTTTGACTATGGGAGTCCTGTGGTTCTTCACGAACATGGCCAGCACCAGAACTGTGATGAAAAAAAAGCCAAGAGCAAGGAAGGCTAAACTGAGTCCCAAAATTTCTTCATAGGACAAGAAGGTTGTGGTCTTTGGAATGCAGAAATCCCGATTTTTGCTTGGATACTCTGTATCTGAGCACGGATTGCAATCATTCATGTCTAGAAAGGATATGAAAGGAAAAGGGATGGTCTTATCAGACAAAACAAAGACAGGAAAACCAGAACTCAGAATTCAAACATTTCATTAATCTCAACATGATGTGATATTTTTTTCCTCTCATGCTGAGCTGTGTGTGACAGACAATATTGCTTGTCCTACTTACTCTCCGCCCTTCTACTATCATTTTCATCTTTAGTCCTACAGGTGATTCCTTGGAGACACCACACAGTCATTCCTTACTTTGACAGTCTGAGTAGAAGTCAGTTTGATGTGGCTGTCAAGCTGTGTCTGTTGTGCTCTCTGGGCTCATGCCCTGAAGTGCAGCAGAGTGGACAGAGAGCTTAACAGGCAATTCTCCCTCCTACTCTAGCAGGGACTGTTGCAACAAACAGGGGGTGCCTCTCCCATGGGGCTCTGTGCTTCAATGGATCCCTTTTTCACCAGTCTTCTTGCATGCATGAATGAAAGGGGTGAGAATCAGAGTGAAGGTTCTGAGGAATGGTCTCATAAATGAAAAGTGATGACTAAACAGGGCCCCGGCATAAATCTGCTTCTCCAGCTGTAAATCTGAATTTCTCATCCAGTCTCTGGCACCCTCCAGGTGTAAATAATAGCCAAATCAAATGGGGCTTCAAAGGTTCAAGTGAGAATTTCTCACTTGTCAGGAGTTGTAAATGCATTCGCTTCAGAGATTTCCTTCTATGGAGAAAAGGGAGATTTTTAGGCAAGGTTTATTTCTCTCTTTAGCTTCACCAGAACAGTCAAAATCAACAGCTTCTAACTCCTGCTAGATGATTTCTTTCTATTGGGCCATATATGAATAAATGACTTCATAAGATGTGGTTTTTGATGAATAAACTAAATTAATTCACAGGGTTATGTGGTAGAAGGAAACAAGAAGAAAGAGTAAAAGAAATATCATGATCTCCATTTATTTCAGATATGGATCACTGTTTTAACACCATAATCAATATGCATCTGGTACCTTGTTGCTGATGTAATTGGTTAGATTAGATTGGCTAACTTTATATAATTTATGGAATTTTGGTATATGGTGATTTACAGCATCTGTCAATAATGTTAGACTGGACTTTGATATTTACAATTATCTGACTGAGATATACACTTCCCTGGCTCTGAAAGTTTTTAATTCCTATGCTGAATCAGAATATTCTTTTATATAAATCCAGTAATTTTGAATTATTATTTTTCTGACTTAGTACCAATGTTCAGCTGTTATATTTATCAAGAAGATGCTTCTTTTGGTAATTTGCCCTCAAGCCATGTAGGGCTTGGAATGTAATTCTAGGAGAAATCAGCCCAGTTATGGACTGGCAGTCTGTGCAGATAATACTGCCCCCAAAAAGATCATGTCAGTCAGTGCTTGTTAGCCATTTTGCTGCCCTATTTTGGACCAGCCAAAGGTTCTGACCCATTTGGAAAGGCAGTCTTAAGTAAAATGTCTTAATCCATGCAACCGGCTATGAAAACATAGATGTCTAGTCTGTACCTGGATGGAGATGGATATAATTGGCATAGCAAACTAAGATGGGGAAAGCTGCCCCATACCACAGGGTCCCCCTGTGTGACAAGTGACAGTTCAGCCAAACTTGAGCCATTATGGGAACTGTCAACCTCTGTAGAAGGGGTGAAAGAGGTCACTCCTCCCTTACATGCGAACCACACCTCCAGTACCTCTATCTTGCCTGGATTGAGTCTCAGTGTATTGCTCCTGGTCAAGTCCATTACCATGGCCAGGCACTGGTTCACAGACCTTCTGATCCCATTTGAAACACTGAAGAACAATCACCTCATCTACAAAACAGCCACTTTTAATATCTAATCAATGAAAGTGTATTACATGCAGAGACATGCATCTGACTTTACAGATTCTCACATTAAGGAGTTAAAGCCTATATCTTCTGACTAAATAGTTCCATGTTAGTTTTATTTAATATATTGTATTAGTCCATGTTCATCACTGTTGGTTTCAATTTCTTGTACACCACCCAGAGCTGATGGGAATAGGGTGGTATAAAAATATTAATATAAATGAATAGCTAAATAAATACTCCTACCTGCCTGGCTTGAAATCTTTCCATCTGGACATGGAATGCAGTCGTAGCAGCAAAACGGCTCTCCTTCCTTCACTGTCTTGCTAGAGCCCGGATGGCAACGCTCTGTACATACAGAAAGTGGTCGTGTCTAATATGTGAATACAAAAGCAGAATACATACATGAACAGAAATCATTTTTTTTAAATGGAAGGTTCTCAAACAACAAATAAGTTACAAAATTTTCCCAGCATTCCAGGCTGAGATTCTTAATTTACTACCATGAATTGCAAGTTTTCTTTATTTAGGGGTGAGTGCTCACACAGACCCTCATTTTGTAGGAAGAAATACAGCAAATGATAGAATAATGTACTAGATGAGATGCCACTTCTTGAAGTGGCATTGCTTGACAATGCATCAGATATTATCTTAGAAGACTGCCTTGAACTATTTAGAATGCTACTCATAGCAACAGGAAAATTATTGCTCTTCATGCATCATGGATGAGTGTCAGCAGCAGACTTTGAAAGCAGAACTAATCTGCTACAGAAGGTTTCCAGAAGCAAAATGTAGAAGTATTTTCAATGAGAACTGGAATTAACTTATAAGCTGTTGGATCAAACAGGTATGATAATCACTCTACATACAGTATATTCCTTTGATCTCATTTGCTGTTCAGGTCTATAAGGACAAGAGTGGTAATCTGAAGTCTGTGGCTGGTATCATTTCCAGGTTCTGGGGCTGGGCCCTTCAGTGTCTCCCAAGATATTCCCCACACATCTGGGAACAGACACAACAGCTTTAGACAGACATTTTCAGTGACATTTGGCTGTGTTTGCATGGTTTCTGTTTAGCAGAGTATTAAAAATGTTGGCTAATCTATTCCAAATAATAAAAACCTGATATAAATTTAACTGCATTTACATTTCTTCCATTGGTTTTGTTGTAACAGTATTGTTGGCAAAGTAAACCTTATATGTGGAAGTCTTTTTCCTCTTATGCCTTCACTTCACACAATATGCTTCTTTCAATCCAAAATGAATTTTGCATACTGCTTTGCTGGAATTGACTGAAATAAAGCCAGCAGGACTGAAGATCAGAGCTTGTTCCAAGGACATGACCAGTGTCTCCTACCTCATTAAACCAGTGGTGCCATGTGATGGCCTCCTCCTTGATGGTGACAGTTTGGCCTGTAGAAGCCTGAAGATTGATCCTTCCAACTTTCACACGGAGAAAGGATTCATTGGCAAAAAACTTCCAATTGATAACGTCAAAACCTGGTACCATCTCCCCTTTCTCATTGAAGGAAATCATGTTGTGAGGACTGCTATTAAATGAGACCCCTCTGAGAAAGTGATGGAGCTAGATTGAAATTGGAAATGCAAGAGTTTAGTTAGGGTGATAATGTAGTATATGAGGCTAAGTTCGAAGATCAGCTGTAGAAGAATGTAATTAATAATTTTGAGGGGATGGAAAACTGAAGAACAGCTACTCATATTTTGAATGGGAGCTATCTTGATGCACTTCCTGAATCCAATCCAGGCACTTAGTTTAGTGGTTAAGTGTGGACTGCAACATGGTCCAAAAATCAGAAGAAAACAGGGGAAGGTGACTGAAATATAGAATATATTTTGAGGCATAGGTTGAGGGCTCCTGCCATGGCAGAAGGCAGGAGAGTTTCACATTTGAGTACTGGGAGAACATTACCCGCCATGGCTCTTCATTTCTGAACTTCTGCCCTTTTGTCTCCATGATGGCCCTGTGTTTGACTTCGGATGCAGACCTGGCATGCATAGCGTGGGCCACAGCATAGACTGCATTGTAGATGCTGTAGCTGTGGCCAGTCATGCTCATCTCAAAGAAAACTCCAGGAAGGCTCTCCAGCCTTTCCTTTCCAGTACAGATCTCCTCTTCCACATACTCTGCTAATGAATTTGGGAAAAGACAGCCAAAAGCTTGTTGCCAAAAGATCCTGAGAAAATCATCTCCTTTTGTGCTGACTGGATTTCTGCTCTCCTCAAATACTTTGAATCCTGGTAGGTCATTGGAGTGCATCCTCAAAGAGAGAGTGCCATGGAATGTTTCTGTCTCCCAATTCCTTTGATAGGCCAATGCATTGATCTCCATCTGGGTTGTCACTACCCAGACTTTGCCCTTGAATTTGCTTGTCCTTTTCTCCAGTTTTGGTATATATGGAAGCCATCTAAAAGTTGCAAATGAATGTGATTCTCCATGAACAACCACCACATTGGCTTTGCTGTCCACTAGTATATCATATATTTTTGCCCCCTTTTCAAACATAGCATTAATGTTAGTGACGTAAGTGTTTGGCGGGAGTTTCTCTATGAATGCAAAACAGACGCCTCTTTTGGAAAACATTGGGGACACAGTTTGCAAGAATCTTTCTCCATTGTCATTATCCATAAAAACAAGTCCAATCCATGTCCAGCTGAAATGCAGGAGCAAAGACAGAATACCTTCATACTGCAGAGTTTCATGAGGAACCATCTGATAGAAGGGAAGTCCTGGGGTCTTATTGTTCATGACGGGACGCACACCATAGATGAGCTAAAGAGAGGTTGAAGAAATTTTAGAAACATGACATTAATGATTGGAACAAGTTCTGTATGACCCACATGCTGGTTGCCAGCCATTCTGTGAGAAGCACTGCATGACTTGCAAAGCTTATGCTTTCCAAAGGAATGCTCTGTCTCCCACAATCAGGAGTTCTCAATATGCAGTTCAGAACTATTGAAGAGTATTGAAGTGAAACACTTCTTCATGGTTGCCTCTTCAGAAAGCTTGTTCTGCTCAGCAGACTTCTTAAGGAAATGTTGAAATAGTTATGAAGTGCAAGTTGAACTGGCATCCCTTTTTTCCATGACATGAGACATAATACTGCTGCTGATATACCAAATTATCATGAAAAGGGAGAAATAGCAGTACATCCAAAATAAAACAAGCATATAAAATCAATTGGAGCAACTGACAAATTGAGGTTTCAGATTCCCTACTTGACAAGAATACATATGCAGGAAATGTTGAGCTTGTCAATTCAGTCCTGTACTGCAGAGTTTTGCTAGCTTGACCTGTAGAGAAACTTGCATCTGAATGAGAGTAAGCATACATTTCAATCGTTTGTCCATCTTAACTGTGTCAAGTTGTATAATTTTGTAATACTGCAAAATCTGCAATATTTTAGATAATTTTAAATTATTCCTTGAAGTGTGATTTGATTACAGTGTGTATTATACAAAGGAAAGGACATTTTTAAAAGACATAAAAACTTTTACCATAGTAAACATGATAGCAAGATTAATAATGGCTAATGAGAATGATCAAATACAATGGTGAACATTTTTTCAGTCATTTTAAGTTTGTCTGTCCAAATAGTAATGTGTGTTCATTCTGGCTGAAACTAGCAATATGGGGCTTGAGAAGCAACGCCAGCATGAGGAACAAGTAACGTAATCTGCCATTATTTAAATTGAGTAAAAGAAGATGAATAAGAACCCAACTGCTTGATTTCACTGGAACAATCTCTCTGACAGGAGCTGGGAACAACCAAGGAAGTGCGATTGTGCAGCTATATCCTCATTTCTCACATAGAGAAAGGATGAGGATTCTTACCTGTGGAATCTTGTAGATATCCAAGATATTTGCCATATTGAGAGAGACTTCAGAGTCCAATGCCCCAATGACTGCTATTAGATTATGGTGGATGCCGCATGCATAGTTGGGGACCAATCTCTCCTGCACTGACAGAAGTCGTAGGATGGCCAGACATGTTCTCCTTGCATTGTCATAGCTGTCGTAGATGTGGAAGCCCAAAGTCCAGTTGGGCAGTATGTGAGGGCTCTCATTGATCTCCTTTACTGCAAATGCCAGGGCCAAGAGATGCTGATAATTCTTAGGGATCATGCTGAAAGTAGAGGCAACACCGGAGACACAGAGTGGAAGTCAGCACACGCAAAGAAAAGCTATACATGAATGGCCAGACAGAAAGTGCCTTGAATAAGGGCACTAGGCTGAAAAAGAGCAAATCACAGAATAGGAGTCAGCATGGACAGAGCAAAGCCATGCAGATATGTACAGTCGAAAGCAAAATGCTTTGAGTTTGAAGCATCTCAGTTCTTGGGAATTGGTGGTGAGGCTGCTTTGTCTGAAAATAGTTAAAACTGACCTGAATGGGTCATAGATTCATTTCTGATTCATCCTCTCTGGGGTGTGATCATTTCTCTGCAAGATGAAAAAGAAATGAAAACAGACAGCAGTGCAATCCTTACATGAATTCTTTGAGTGAGTCTGGCTGGGGTTCTTCAGTGAAGGTTAGTGCACTGGATATGATTAAACCGTGAAAAGTGATGCTGCCGATGAGAGTGTCTCCTGACTGATAGGCTCTCTGTGCGACAGGCGGCTCCCAGTTGCTGCATTTGAGGATGTGTGCTAGGTATTCAATTTGAGAAAGCACTACCAAAAGCAAGACCTGAAGCAGCACCATTCTCAATGCAATGCCAAATTTAACAGTGCCACACCACCTTCCCCCTTTTCTATGGCAACTTTTGAAGCACTCCCCATGGAACTCCCTCCTCAAATGGTAGTTTCTCTGTTGACAGCTGTCTGCAGGTAGAGAGGTATCCAACATCAAATCACATCACATTATCGCATCACAGGAAACTTGCTTGTTCCGAGTCCCTTCCTCAACTCTATCATGTAGTAGTCTTATTTATGACAGCCTTCACTATTTTGTGTTTCCTCTGGTGTGAGTCTACTAGAACTCCAGAGGGGTTTTGTGGTGTGGCAGCATTTAATGGATAATTACAATGCTAGTTAATTACCATTTCAAAGTTGAAATTTTTCTGATGAATTGATGAGAGAAAAAGTATGCTTGATGTACCTTAGCATCGACTACTTAATGCTTTCAATGACTCAATGAAAGAGCAGAACTCTCTTCCATTGGGGGCACATTGTGTAATTGCAATATATTATGGAAATTAATCTTGTTTGTCATGTACACTCAAAGCTATTACTCTGTTCAGGAATAATGGTTAAATGTTGGGAGGTGAAAAGTTTAGTTCCAATGCAGAGGTCAGGAACTTCGACTTAGAAAACAGATTTTATGCAGTCTTTCTGTACCAAGCAGTTAATGTGAACTCCTGTTTTCCCATTCAGGATCGTTCAATGCTTCCTTGGAACCGTTTTGGTTTCCCCCTGCAGGATGTAGGGTAGATAAGTTAGCCTTTGATCTTCTTGAAGCTACATTTTTCAGAAGGATCCTGTGTGGGTACCTGTATCTTAATTTGCTCTTCCTATCCTCCTCCACGGCATTTCTCTTTATACTTTATGTAAAAGGTTGCAATCCTACATCAGTGAAGTGCAGTTTCTTGCAGTTCAACTCACTACTCAGTGCCTCAGACCGAGGATCTGGCTCCCTCACTGAGGTCCAGGATGAAGAAAATACAATAGAGCCCATGCCAATTCCCCTTATTCCAATTTTCCCCAAAGGTTCCATGAGGCTTGAGGCCAACATTCTTTGGGTTGCAGTGGATGATCAAGTGGTGATTCCAAGCTATTGAGCTACTTTGCACTAGCTACCTTTCAGAGTGTTTGGGTGGATTTTCCTTCCTTCATTCTCAATGTCAATACCTACTCAGCTGGCCCACCCTGGGCATGCACCCAGTCTGTACAGGGCATTTTGTAAGCATCCTAAACTGAACCTTATGAGGTATTTATTTCCAATACCCCCCTCTTCCTCCTGAAATAATTGATTAATTCCCAGTAATCTCAGACCATTTCTGAGTATGTAAAATTCATGGTTTACTTTCTTTGCACTCTTTCCTCATGCTGGTTAAATGGGCCTACAGAAATCTATTAATACAAACTGTTTTCATTGCTTCCGATCAACAGAAGCTATTCACGTTGTGGTCCCCTAGAACATAAGAAAAGCCATGCTGGATCAGACCAAAAATCCATCTAGTCCAGCGTTGGATACATATGGCAGCAAACCAGGTGCCCACAGGATCACTCTAGCAAGATGGGTGCAAGGCCTCCTCCTGCCCATGTTTTTGGGGGAAGCTTTGATGTTGGAGGAAACATTAATGACACCTGAACTCTGGATGGTTGCAGCTGCTGTGTAGAATGACAAACCTAAAATCTGCATGCCTACTCTCACAGGCTTCATTGGAGTTACCCAGAGATCATTTGGGCATGTTCTTAGCTTGGGATAAAAAATACGTTGTAGGGGTGGGATTCCATTATATTCTGAAGACTTGGGTATCCAGATTCTGTTCTGCTTGTCCTGGCCCTGAGTGCATTTTCCTTGTGAGCATGTCCAGTGTTTGTGGAGCACTCTCCAGAAATGGAGATCTCCACAGCATCCTTCTTCCATGCCACATGCATTCCCCTGGACATTGTTCTGCTTTCCAGGGAGTCCAGGTTCCTGGTGAGCTTGCCCAATGTCTGTACTGTACTCACTAGTACTGGAGATCTCCACTACTGCTAGCAGCATTCTTCTTCCATGCCACATGCAGTAGTGCTTTGTACTGAAATGGACATTTGGTCACGGGAAGCTCAGCAAATATGGAGCCCTGCACAACCAGTACTGGTGTGCTTCTCCTACAACACATGCTGCAGCTTCTGCTTGTGTTGCCAGTTGCTCAACTTTCATTCCATGATCATTTGTGGACTTTCTCTTGAGTTGGCTCACTTTGCAAAACTGGGAGGATAGGAAGTCTGCAGTTGAAAGATGGATGGGTGAGGTTCATTCCACCACTATCCATAGCTTTATATTTTCTTCATATTGATGAAGCATGTTGGTTCCTTCTGTAGTCTCCATCCAAACATAAGTAGAGATGTGCAAGGAATCTGCTTTGTGCAGGAAATTCACTCCATTCCCTGGTTTTGGCTTCCCAGAATCCAGTTCACTTAGCATGTATCTTAGCAGTTCACTTAGCATCTTCCTGGCATGTATGCCCAGGGTTCATGTGGAGTGGGCAGGAATTCAGGTCGATATGCTGTGTAAGCAGCATCATTTCTTCATGTCACTGATGCTCCTGGATCTGGGAGCATAGCAAGTAGAAATTTTCATATTTATATGATTTTTTTGTGAAGTAAACTTTGATTCACTATTGTAAAATGGCACAATCCTCTAGACTAAAAATGTAATGAAGGGCAAGCATTCATCCTTCAGTATTTTCTTTTAATAAGCTGTTCCCTGCTGTTCAGCTCAGGTCTCAGCACAATAATGTAGCATTTGGGGAAGAAGATGCAAGAAAGTAATCCTGCACTTGAAGCTAAGATGGAGAAGATCTCCACAGCCACCATGGATTTCCCCTTGGTGCTGAGGTAAGAAGGAACAAAAGAGAGCCAAACACTGCAAAAGACCAGCATGCTGAAAGTGATGAACTTGGCTTCATTGAAGCTACCAGGAAGCCTCCTGGACAGGAAGGCCACCGTGAAACTGATGGTTGCAAGAAGGCCCATGTAGCCCAAGGCACAGTAAAACATGATCACTGAGCCCTCGTTGCAGTCCAGTATGATTTCTTCGGCCATGGAGAGGAGGTCAACATCTGGGAAAGGGGGTGATGTTCCCAGCCACACACTACAGATGCCCACTTGGATGAGGGAGCAGGAAAGAACAATGACACCAGCCTTCTCCTTTCCCAACCACTTCCTTATCCTCGATCCTGGCTGAGTGGCCATGAAAGCCAGAACAACCAAGAGGGTTTTTGCCAGTACTGAGGACACAGCCACTGAGAAGATGATGGCAAAGGCAGTTTGCTGGAGGAGGCAAGTGGGCTCCTGAGGCTCACCAATGAAGAGCAAAGTGCAAAGGAAGCAGAGCATGAGGGAGCTGAGCAGAGTGTAGGTGAGCTTCTGGTTGTTGGCTTTGA